CCTGTGGAGGCAGCAGGTTTATAATAATTGGGTGCACTTCCCTCTCCACACGGGGAAGAAATGTGTATGAATGTATGTGGTAAATGAAGACAACATGTTGATGTAAGAAATGTCCAAACATGAAGAGCATGTTTATAAGATTCTATTCCAGCCAAATTGTTGACAACTGTTGGGAAGCAAGACCTCAAATGCTCTGGAGAATAACCGTTTGCACCTGTGTTTGTGCATTTGCAGTTAAGGAGGGAAGGTGAGGAGTGACATGGAGGTGGGAGAGAGCAAGGTGGGGACTGGGTGCCAGGATAGTTAACGAGATTTTTTCTCTCTCTCTTTTTAAAAGTCTTTATTGTTAAAAGTATTACATAGACCTTCCCTCTACCCCTCCATAAACCACATTCAGGTCCCTCCCATGCCCCATCCATGCCCTCACTACCCCATTGTCTGTGTCCACAGCTTGGGCATATATGTAGACAAGTTCATTGGTTGATTGCTTCCCATGCACTCTCCCCTGCCTTCCCTCTGATGTTCCATGGTCTGTTCATGCTTCTATGTCTCTGGGTCTATTTTTGTTCATTCAGTTTATTTGGTCCATTAGCAATGCAGGCTGGGGCAGCCATCATGATAAACAATATGGAGTTCCATCTAAAAATTAAAAATGGAACTCCTATTTGACCCAGTGATCCCACTTCTAGGAATATATCCTAAGAAACCCAAAACACTCGTCAGCAAGAATGTATGCACCCCTATGCTCATAACAGTACAATTTACAACAGCTAAGGTTAGGAAATAGCCTAAGTGCCCTTCGGTAGACGATTGGATAAAAAAAAAAAACTGTGGTACATCTACAGCATGGAATTCTATGCAGCAATGAAAAAGAAAGAACTCTTACCATTTGTAACTCGTTCCTAGTTTCATCTGTTAATGTTTGGGGTGTGGAAAGATTACAGTCACCCCTAAGTATATTAAATAAATTTGTCATTTCTCCCGTAGAGATTTTCAGATAAGGTCTTAACCAGTTAATGTCCCCTAATAATTTTTGAAAATCATTTAAGGTTTTAAGGCAATCTTTTCATATTTTCACCTTTTGAGGCCCACTACATTGGTTTTCATTATGGTTCCTAGATATTTGAAAGGCGTTTCTTTCTGTACCTTTTCTTGAGGAATCTTTAAGCCCCTTTTAGAGAATTCCTTTTCCAATTGGGAAAATATTGCTAAAGTCTGCTCTTCCTGTGGACTCTCTAAGAGCAAATCATCCATGTAATGGATAATATAATATTGGGAATATTTGTCCCTTAAAGCTGAATAGCTTGAGCTACATATTTTTGGCATAAGGAGGGCTATTGGCCATTCCTTGAGGCAAAATTTTCCATTGATATCTTTTCATAGACACTATATTATTAATAGATTGC